ACTTCAACGATCATGCAGGCAATGCCAGTGAGACCTGGAGGGATGTGACTGGGAGGAACCGCAGCAGCATTTTGTTACAGGACTTATGTGCAAACCAAAGTTTGTCCTTAACATGTTCAAACATAAGAGTACCTGGACCCGCCTACTATATAACATATACATAAGTGCATGTGGCAGCAGGACATCCAGGCTGCAGGCTGATGATCGATTCTGTAATTGCATCATCAGATCTGCGGCCATATGTTCTGGACACTCGGGTGAAGAGAGGGGCTGAGCTGTCAACTGATCACATCCTGGTGGTGCGTTAGATCAGGGGGTGGGGAGGATGCTGGACAGACGTATAGTGAGGGTGCGCTGGGAAGGTTGGCAGAGGCTCCAGTCTGCGAGATCTCAAACCTCCGGCAGGGCTTCAGCAACAGTTTGAGAGAGACTGGCGAGTCCCACAGTCTTATCCTTGGTTTAATCTTGACAGGGCAGCAGCTCTGATGCACAGGAAGTTTACCCGCCTTATCTCTGCTTGAAGTTTCAGGTGTTGATCATACAGAATGGGAGTGGGAGAAATGGCATATTCTGTGTACATTTCCAATGGTTGATTCAAAAGTTGTTTTGTCTGTGTTGACCGTTTTTCTGGTGAGAGGGAAACGAGATGGCCTGCGCCCTCAGACGAGCCTCCCATAAAGTGCCTCTCAGGGGTATCATTAATCTGAAAAAGGGGGAAATTTCCACCAAGAAAAAAAATCCAGGGTTGGTAAGTAAAAAGCAAATTTATAGTCATCCCAGACACGGGCGTAGACCCCCAACAGCATAACTGGGGTGTCAAAAAGATGAAAAGATGCTGCCACACAATCAGAGTCTCCAATCGAATGTGTTGGTTTGAATCTGACACTCTTAATAATGGCCCCCTCTTGAGTGAAATACATGTCCCATCCAGGATCTGGTAAGACGAGAGACCTCAGAAGTTTTAAGGAGGGCCCCCCCCCCAGCTGTCAGGTGTGAGAGCGTCTTAACTATCCTGTTAACCCCCTAACAGTCCAGGAAACAGTCCTGCAGCCCTGGTTTATGTCACACATCTATTCTTGTATAGGGAGGACAGACTCGTGCTGTGATGATGCCCATATACGTTGGAGAGCCTCCCTCTGCCACCCCCGCCCCCACTTCCCAAATACCCTGTATGAAATCCCTTTAGAGCTCCCAGTTCTTTAAGCACAGAGATCCTCTTCTCACTGCACCTCCTGCTGGTTGTGATTCACTCCTTCTGACAAAGATGTTGTTCTAGGGTGGCTGTTGGGGTGGCTGTAGCCCAGACGGTAGAGCAGGTCACCTACTGACGGCTCCAGTCTGCATGCCAAATATTCCTGGGAAAGATACTCACTCCCATGTTGCTCTCCGATGCATCCATCAGAATATGAATGTGTATGAAAGTTAGACAGAAAGCGTAGAAACAGCATCGAGGTGCTTGTGTGAATGGGTGTGAATGGGTAAATGAGGCTAGTTGTGCTTTGAAAGGAACTTTTTTTAATCGCAGTGTAGCATCGAGTCAGTAATGGGACGGTGATGTGGTCAGCTATGTAGCAGAGGGGGTAACCCGTTAATAGCAGATGCACCAGAGGGACAACTATGAGAAACCCCCAAACAGGAAGGTTTACTGGTGGAGACCACTGACTTTTTTTTTCCTCCTGATTTTTCTGATTTTTTTAGTTTTGCATTTTGCAACGATCTCTGTCTCTACTAGTAGCATGAAGCGATACATGGACCCTACAAAGGTTGCACTCACGCCTCCAGGATGGCATATGTATACGTACAATGCCAGAAGCTTTGCTCTGTCTCACATCAAGAGTATGGAGGAGGTTCAAGGAGACAGGATGCAACTCTAGAAGAGCTGGACAGGGCCATAGAAGGTCCTTAGCCCATTAGCAGGATCAGCATGTGCTTCTTTCTGCCAGAGCTACAAAATGACCGAAATGAACAGCCGGTGACTGCTGTGAATGTCTCTGACCGACCAATCAAGACCAAACTTCATGACGTCCTCTAGTGCAGCGGTCCCCAGGCCACGGACCACGGACCAGTACCTGTCTGTGAGTCGTTTGGTGCCGGGAAAGAGGCTCGGGTGAGAAATGTATGGTTTTCAGGGATTTTATCGTTTTTATCATTAACTCTGTTTCTTTCATTTCCAGTGTGTTATGAATGAATCTTCTTTTTTTGGTACTGGTTTTATTTTGTTGTAGTTATCCGCGACACCTGAAAGGCTGGTCTGAGAGAATATTGTGGTGCATAAAAGGTTGGGGACCGCTGATCTAGTAGCCCCAGTGCTCACTGCCTGCATTTATCCCTAACTAAAAGGTCCAGCACTGGCGCCCTGTGGTTTTTACAGATGAGAGGAGGTTCACCCTGAGCACATGTGACTGAAGCAATGGAGAAAGATATGTTTATGTAACATCGTTCAGCGTGGCCGGTTTGGTGGTGTGTCGGTCAGGGAGGAGTACACAGACCTCTACAGGCTGTTAGGTACTGGGATCAAATCCGTGGATCTACATTGTCATATCCTGGTGCAGTGATTCCTGTGTTCCTGGTGCATGACGACGCCGGCCTCATGTGCTGAGAGTGTGCAGGCAGTTCCTGGAGGATGAAGGAATTGACACCATTGACTGGTGCTTGCTCGGCCTAAATTTAGTAGAACACCTCTGGGACTTTGTTTCAGTAATGTAAATGGTTGGCCTGCATTTGTATAGCGCTTCACACTACATTCAGTCATCCACACATTCACACACTGGTGATGGCAGCTAGATTGTAGCCACAGCCACCCTGGGGCGCACTGACAGAGGCGAGGCTGCCGGACACTGGCGCCACCGGGCCCTCTGACCACCACCAGTAGGCCAACATGGGGTTAGTATCTTGCCCAAGGATATTTGACATGCAGCCAGGAGGCAGCCTGGGATCGAACCACCGACCTTCTGGTTAGTGGCTGACCTGCTCTGCCACCTGAGCTACAGCCACCCACCGAGCCGAGTTCATCCAGCAGGTATCATCTCAGACGACTCGGTTTAGTGAGGCCCTGGTCTGGAGGAGATGCTGCAGGACACCAACCATCATCTCATTAGGAGCATGCCTGGATGTTATTGGGCATGCACAACAAACTACTGAGCACTATTTTGAGTTGCTCAATTTCAGACTGCTGCATAATTCTTTTACTTTGATTTTCGAGGTGTCTTTGAAATCTGCCCTCTACAGGTTGAATTTCATTTTCATGATGTGGCATCCTTTCATTCTTAACACATTATTCATGCCAGTATAGATATCAGCATGATGGTTTTCCCCTACTGACATCTGAAGTTTCCTTTTTTCAGCAGTGTAGCAATCCAGCGTTAAATGAGAATTGTTGTCAAAACAAGCATGAAAACTGTTAAAGTTTAACCAAGTCAAGTTGTAACAGACACTGACGATGATGAGTCCAGCGTTTAATGGGAATTTCACATTTTTAGGTTGTCAAAACAAGCATGAAATGTTTTTGGAACAACTGTTAAAGTTTAACCAAGTCAAGGAGACGACAGAGTTAATGTGTTTATTGTAACAGACACTGACGTCATCACAGTATCAGGAAGTGTATGAAATGTGGGCGATTGGACTGTAAATTTGACAACTGATCAGGAGATAAATCCTTCATCACCTGCAGGAGGTGAACAGTCTGCAGTGGGAGCTCAGCTTCTCTCAGGCTCAGATGAAGAAATCTGAGCAGTCCTGGGAGCTCAAGCACAGCAGGTCAGATGAACTCTGCATACACGTCTGTCTCTGCTCTCTTAACGTCATTATAACGCTGCTGCTGTTATCATCAGAGTGTCAGGTGACAACAAGATTCTGACTGACAAGTTGCAGGAGATGGAGAGTGAGAGCCAGCAGCTGCGAGCAGAAAACGCAGGTAAATGAGTGCGAGGCCAACGCATGTAGATGCTTGTATAAGTTGATGCAGAGGGTTAACGTGTGTCTGTCTGCAGCCTTGAAGCGACAGTACCTGGAACTTCTCTCCATGCTGAATGTGAAGGAGCAGAGGATTTACCAAGCCACCAAGCCTCAGTACAGCCTGGACACCGAGTCAGGTGTTCTGGAGGTGAGAAACGATGGGGGTGTGGTGGTCGCCGCGTGGAATAGCACGCTGTGATTCTCAGCAACACATCATAAAAGCTGCTTAAAGCATTTGTGGGGATTTGAATGTTGTTATGGCTCATCTGCTTTCTCGCATTGACTCTTTGATGCAGTCACAAACCGATCAACATCAGCACAGCTTGAATCTCTTCCATGTACACTTCTGTAAAAACGTGTAAAAACAGCTTAATTTTGATCGTGTAATTGTTCATTTAGGAACGGAACAAGAGTTTACCCTACCAAAGAGCACAGCAGGGCCAATAATAGGCAATGGTTCGTACGCCTCAGCATCTACACCCAAGTTTGTGAATGCAATGAGAACGAGGCTGTTGTGGCGAATCCACTTAGCAAAAAAATGGATCGGACATCAGTTGTAGAAACGATAGTCTTTATATAAGGCTTCAAAAGGGGGAATGTACAACAAAACTTCTCGACATTCGGAGCAACATATAATGGCTTCCCGAAACTTTCTTTGCTAGCTAAAAACCCCAGAGTAACTTTCGTCTACCACAAAGGATTCTGGGAAACGCAGTTTTCTAATGAAAATACCTGTTAAATGCTCCCCTTTAGCAGAAAATTAAATCTATAATTAACAGCTCTCACTAAACATTTGGCTAACACTTAAATCACTTACAAAATAACCAAAATGCTGTTATCAAACAATAAACTGCAATAAAGTTACAACATCGGCGACGTAGGCTCGATGTCACAGATGTGTCTGCTAAGACTCTAGGAGCAGTTTGACTCTCGGTGACCTCAAGGTCAAGTTATCTGAAGAGTTTGTGGATACAATGACTCGAGAACGAGGTGGTTTGAAATGATGCCATAGGTGTGTCTACGAGGAGGGCGAGGGGTCCACGCCAAACGCCATATCAGAAACAATAAGACCTTCACACTGTTTACCTGAAGCGTATTTACTGATTGTATGTGTTGTTACACTGAAAGGTGAATGTGTTGCCATAAAATAAAGTTTGTAGCCCCTCACTTAATGCTTTAAAGCAATAAATAAGATAAAATATAACAAGTTGTTAAGCAGTGAATAATGATCAAATAACAGTTTTGCAGTTATAAGTGTAACTGTAGCAGGAGACTACACTACCACATACAACAGGTCACCAGGCTAGCAGCTTCCAGTGTTTCACTAAATAAGAGTTTATTAGGAGCTGCACAGCTGGTGTGTGATCGCTCCCTGAGCCGCTCTGCCACAGCTGGGCAACACAGTTAATTATCATCAACTTGCACTTGTACTCAGTAGTATCCTTTCTAATCTCTGTTTTCCAGTTGACTGTACTGGGAGCCTGCCAGTGTGTGCTTGATACTGAACCGTGTCCATGTAGTCGGACTGCTGCTGCCAGCAGGAAGCAGTTGGTCCAGTTACAACAGGAGGTAAACGTCATGTAACTCTATCACTGCACCAACTTTTGTTCTATTCGGGTCAGTTATTATCATCTATGCATCGTTCAGTTTGATTCATGAATTAAAAAAATGTTGAATAATCAAAATATTGGTTTTGGAACTGGTTAAAAATATAACTCCCCAACAGCTTGTGTCAGAACAAACATCCTCCAGCTTGTCTCCTGAGGGGCTCCAGGCAGGGACGCCCACTCCCCCCTTCACTGTTTGCAGTTTTTATCCACTAGCAGCAGCAGGTAGACCGGCTGCAGTAATGAAGGGCATCAGATGCAAGAATGTAGAACATAAAGTCAGTCTCTGTGCAGATGATGTGTTGCTTTCACAAACCAATCTCTCTGAGATAATCACACTAATACACTCGTTTTCAAGAGTTTCAGATTATTCAATAAACTGGTTAAAATCTGCAGTTCTTCTGTTGAATTGCTCCTTCCATAATCCTTCTTCTACCCCGCTGCAATCTGGAAATATTAAATACTTAGCTATTAATGTTTCTACTAAGCTTGCAGATTTAACTAAATTAAACCACATCCCAGTTCTAAAGAAAGTAGAAGACGATCTGGCTCGATGGAAATCTCTACCATATCACTCATGGGAAGGGTCGCTGCAATAAAAATGATGGTCTTGCCAAAAATGAATTATTTATTCTCACTGATCCTGAGTGAACCATCACCAGACTGGTTCAGATCTCTGGATTCGTCTATTTCTAAATTCCTTTGGAAAGATAAACCTGTGTATCAGATTAAAAACACTACAAAGGACCAAGGACTAGATCTGCCTAACTTTCAGCAATACTTCTTAGCCCACAGGTTCATCTCAGGATGGTTTAAACACCCTCTTAGATGAGCCCTGGGTAGATGTAAAATGGGCACTTTGCACTAATCCAGTGTTTTCAGACCATTTATCAGCCTAAACATCAAACGACATGATGCTTTAAAAGCATCAACATCAGCTCTTCTCTGACAGCACGGTGGGAGTTTGTAACAATAACAGTCTTCATTAATCCCATGCAAACGTCCACCTATCTGGAACAACCCTGACATACTGCAGAACAATGATGTGATAAACCTCCCAGATTGGAGTTGTAAACCCCACCCCAACCGGTCGCAGCAGATGGCCCCGCCCCTCCCTGAGCCTGGTTCTGCTGGAGGTTTCTTCCTGTTAAAAGGGAGTTTTTCCTTCCCACTGTCGCCAAAGTGCTGCTCATAGGGGGTCATATGATTGTTGGGTTTTTCTCTCTGTGTTATTGTAGGGTCGACCTTACAATATAAACCACCTTGAGGTGACTGTTGTTGTGATTTGGCGCTGTGTAAATAAAATTGAATTGAAAATAAAGGAATTAAATACTTGGAACATATATTCAAAGGAACAGATATTATTCCGTTTGACAGTAGTTATACAAAATGCGTTTAACAAGAAAAGACTTTAGAATATCAACTAATTAAATCTATAGTAAAAAAAGAAATTTAAGCCTGGTCAAGTCAAATTACAACCACCACCAAGTGCGGTATAATTCCTTAATTTCAAACCCCCTAAATTACTGTCTAAAACATATATGACAGTCTATAAAATCAATGAATCAATATCCCCTCCTGTTGCAAATGGGAGGCGGATCTATCAGTCAGCTTAGACCAAAACTTCTGGTCTCAACATGTTTAAAACCTTTCAAGTGATTAGAAATCTACAATTACAATACGCAATACTACACAGAGTGCACTATACAGGCCAGCAGATGTTCAGCATGGGTTTTACAACAACTGCTTACACTGTCAAAACAATATACATGACAATTGCATCCACGCTCGAGGTTCAGCGGTTTTGGTGAAGGATATGTGAAGACTTATCAAAGTGTCTGAAATGTAACATCCCAGCCTCCCTTTTAGTTTGCTTATTGGGCAACTTATTATGTCCCTGTGGAGATGAATACAGTCCACATGGCTCTCACTGTCCCCATGACTGTCCTGGTGCACCAGGCCTCCCCCGGCACCTGATCCAACTCACCATCAGATAGTGATCAGTCGACAGCTCAACCCCTCTCTTCACCCGAGTGTCCTGCACACATGGTCACAGCTCTGATGATACAATTACAAAATCATTCAATCATGATGTTCATTATGGACAAACTGTGGTTTGCACAGAAGTCCTGTAACAAAACGGCGCTCGGGTTCAGATCCAGGAGGTCTCACCAGGTCTCACGATCATCGCCCAGCGTTGATCTCTCAGTATGACAACAGAGTCCCCAGGTGGAGCACCCTCCAGGACCCTCTCAAGGACCCTGCCCAGGGACTCCAAGAAGGCTGTGTACTCTGAACTTTGGCGCATAAGCACAGACGACAGTCAGGACTCGTTCCCTGACCCAAAGGCGAGAGAACAAACCCTCTCATCCACTGGGAGAAACCCCAACATACAGGCAGCAAGCCGAGGGGATACCAGGATACCCACCCCACCGCCTCTCACAAAGGGCAACTCCTGACGGAGAGTCCAGCTCCCCTCCAGCAGACTGGATCCAGAGCCCGAGGTGTGCTTGAGGTGAACCTGACTCTTTCGAGCCGGTACCTCTCAACCTCACACATTAACTCCTTCCCCATCAGAGAGGTGCCACTCCATGTCCCAGTCGCTAGTTTTGGTAGTTGGGGATCAGCACCCCAGGGCCTCCACTCCTGGCTGATAAGGTAGCGATTCACGCTAAAGGCCAATCAATGACATGCTATTTTTCCTATAATAAACCA